TTAATATGCATCCTTTCTATTTATTTAAATCTGCACATTCTGTCTCTTCAAACACGTTCCCTCCATAGGAGCAGACTAAAAGAAATGTGCTTTGAGAGGCTCCATGCAGTGAGGTGAAGCAGGGCTCAGCTCTGCTCTGCCATACCTTTTCGCTGCTGTAAAAAGCACTCCCACCACTCCTGGGTTATATGCAAGTAGCGGCAGGCAGGTTCAGACACACGGCAGCTTTCATCGTGTCTGGCTTGCAGGGCCGGCCCCACCGTCTGTCAAGGTGAGGCAGCTGCCCCAGGCGGCAGAAGCTGGGGGGTGGACTGGGAGTGAGGGCAATGTACTGGAGGCAGGCACCCCTGAAGTTAGTCTCCTGCCCCAAGGAAGAGGTGCTGTTCTGTTTCTAGGGTAGACGATTCACCTGAACGTCTAGCTGGCCTCTGTACATGGCATGGGCCACCATCTTGTATTTCGGTGTACAAATGGAACCAAATGCATTGGGTCAGCCGTATTGATTTGACCCTAAAAGTACACCAGCATCCATTTGGTGTGGTTCTTGCTGCTTCTTTTGGTTCAGCAGGCGACTGGTGGCAGGATTTTATTCACTGTAAAATTGAATTGTATTCAGAGTTGCGCATATGTGCGTGTAAGGTGGAAACCGGCCGTGCTGAATGGGAGACTGAGTTTCAAATGTTTGATACATCCTGACTCGTACCATTACCAGATTCCCTTACATTTATTACTGTGAACTTGGGATTTAAACTTTCGCTTGCCATTGGGTGGCACTGCACAAGCTGAAGTATCTCAGGGGGCTTTGCTCAGAGCATTAGGATTCGCTTAAAGTAAAACAAATATTCCAGCTGTGATTATGTCCCCGCCTGGGGACAAGGTTGGATCTCCAAGGTTTCTACAATGTGGATTAAAGTTTCCCAAAGACAACACATTCCTGTTGAAGAGCAAACCCTCCTTCCAAGAGACTCGGTCTCTCTTGCAGTGAGTTTATTGGACTCTCTGAAATGTCAAAAACGTCAGTGGCATCATGGAGTTTGACTTGGTGTGCATGGCTGCCTAAGATGAACTTTATGTACGCTCCAAATTTCCAGAGCTTTAATGATGAAAGACAACTGTCACTTAAATGGGACTGTCAGTGTTCAGTCATTTCAGTCAACAGTCTGTAGCTATTCAGAAAACTCACCTGGAGACGGGGAGTACTCACATGCGAATGTCAACCTTGAGCACCTGAACTACGGATCCATCCACAAATGCATTATAAAGAATGTACAGCATACAGACTTGAGGAAAGGACCCCAATTTAGAAGGCTCTGCACTCCATCAACCAAAAACTCCCTACAACTAGGAAACCCTGTTCTTCAGAGAGAAAGGTTTCGGCTCAGCCCAATTCCCGTTCTGCTGGTTTTCTGTCCATGGGGAGATTTTAGGGGAGTGGAAGGTGGAATCCAGTGAAGAGTAAAAGAATCATCAAATATAAACCTGCCCGGACCCTAGAATCATAGGGAAGCAGGGAACTGACTGCTTTAGGGCAGGAGAAAGCCTTATTTTCCTTCCTACCTTCTAGCTATTTATTTCGTTTGCACCCTACTTTCTACCAAAAATAGCCCTCAAGGTGGCTTACAAGTACAATTACAATGGAGACAATACATCTGGAATCTGTTCCCCAGAGAGGTCCACCTGGCGCCGACGTTATACTCCTTCCAGCGCCAGGAAAAGACCTTTTTGTTCAACCATTCCTTTAATAACCAACAGTTTTAGAAGTTTTAGGATTTTTCCCTTTACAGTCACACTTTCTATTTTTTCCTCTTTTTTCTTAAGTTTATGATGTGTTTTATATTGTTTTAATAATTGAGGGTTTATATTGTACTTTTATATTTTGTAAGCTGTCCTGAGCACTTGGTGATAAAATGGGATATAAATGCCAGTAATAAACAAACAAACAAACCAGTACAATGAATCAATGGAACAATGCATTAAGGGTGCCATCCGGGGGGGGGGGGCGAAAGGCTCTGAATGCGGAAGATTACAGGCACCCCACATGGTGTTGGAGGAGAGGGAGGTGATGGTCAGAGAGGGGAGGGCACAGGGGGCTGCCAAAATCCGGGTGGCCTCAAGTCTCCTCCCCTCCCCATCCCCGGAACACCCTATTTACCCTCTTATGAGTTGAGCAGAGCTGCTGGCGTGGCTCTTCCTGCCCCCGTTGCAAGGATCGGGCAGGGACACACAAGCTCAGGGAGACAGTTCTGCGGCTGGGGGGCCTTTCCAGTATCGCAACTGAGGAATCCGACAGCCTCGGGCCATGGGATGGCTCTGCCCAATGGGGAGAGGGAGACTTTTTTCTCCCTCTCCCGTAACCCTTGACCCCAAGGGGTCACCTCAGGAAGGTGATGGGTGGGAAGTTTAGGACAGATAGAAGGAAGTCCTTTTTCACACAGTGTATAGTTGAACATCTGGATGGCTTTCAAAGGGAACTGGACAGATGCACGCGGGGGGGGGGCGATCTGTGCCCACGAGCATTGCAGGCCATGTGCTCCTTCACTGAGGTGCTTGGGCAGGAGGAGGACTTGTGGGTACCTATCTATCCATTTATAAGCTCCAAACAGATCAAATAAGCTCCATGCTGGCATACAAACAAGAAGGCTTGCCACCATGTGTGGAGCGTTGGATTAAATGGATCTTTCGTCTGATTCAGCAGTGCTTCTCTTATGTTCTGATAAAAATTGTTGCAGTTGTTAGTCGCAAAGTCATGTCTGACCCATCGCGACCCCATGGACAACATTCCGCCAGACCTTCCTGTCCTCCACCATCCCCTGGAATCCACTAATGCTCACGTTATGAAAATTATAGGTTTTTTTTTTTTTTTAAACCAGCAACAAACTCACCTTCAGGCCAAGGAGCTTAAATAAAACACCCTTAGTCTACCAGGGAGGCAAACAGAAAGACAGAGAGCTGAGCCCCTCTTGGCAGTGAGTTTGGCAGCTTGGGGGTGGCCCCTCAAAAGGACCTGTTTTGGGTTGCTACTGAATCCGTTTCTGAAGGTAGCACTTTTGCAAGATGGGCCTCTCCTGAAAGTCCAGGCAGCCTCCTCCACAAGAGTGTGGCCTTTTAGGGACTCTGGCCCCAAGCCGTACAGGGTCAGGGGAGGGCATAACCAGCCATCTGAACTATGTCCAGTCTGGTTGTGCCTGTGAAGCTGCCTGGAACCAGGGAGCCAGAACAGTTGTGTGAAGTTTCTGCACGAGGTTCCAAGACAGTCCCATGCAGAGCGGCTGGAGGGAGTCAGTGCAACTGAGGCAAGGACGACTCCAGCCACAACAGACGCCTCTGCAAAGGACGCCGTGGGCACACGAGCCCCCACTGCTCCAATGCAGCCCTGCCTAACTCAGAGGTTAAATGCACCCCAGCCAGCCAGGTTTAGGACTAAGTCTGGTGGAGGTCCAACCTCTAAGTCTGAGTCTTCAGAGGCACATAACCTGACCCAGCCACAGGCCAAATCCCAATTTCCTGATCTGCCTTTTGCATGACCAAAAACACCACCGTGCGGTCTGGATTAAGCCTCAGTTTGCTTTGATCTACAGTCAGAAATGGTAGACTGACGCGGGTTTCTGACCCCCAGTTATTTAACCATGGCAACAGCAAAACTGCTTTTCTCCTCAACGTTGGGCAGCTGGAATGAAGAAAGTCTGGGCAGGAAGTATAGGATGAAGAGCAGAGTTTGGTGTAAAAAGAACTTGAGCTTAGTTCTGATGCCCAATTTCTGGGCTAAAAATCAACCGCCCTTTATTCCTAAGAGGTTGTGCCTGGTTCCAGGTGATGGAATACGTGATGGTTCTAGTGAAAAGAAAGAGACCCGCAAAGCTGAAAATCTGGTTACTCTGGCAGTAAAGAAGTACGGTCATGCATAATATTGGGGAAGAAAAATAGTCCTAAATCTTGTACCTATAATTTATGAATGAGAATGCTGGAACTTATGGTTAGAGGACTGTTTTTTATGGTTGACTGTGTTCTTCTTTTGCTATAATGTAAACTCGCGTCGTGCCCCCACAACTACCTCAATCTCATATAAACCAGCTACCTCTTGGGTTGACAGATCAAAAAAGCATCACCTTTTCCCTTCCTGCATTTGTAAAACGTACCTCAAGTCCCTTTTTCAGGCAGCACAGAATTACAGCACCAAGATGACATTCCTCAAAAAGCTGTTTCTGACACTAAAATTATTATCGTTTCATGCCTTGTGGCAAGAAATCCTTGCTCAGGTGGTTAGTAAACACCCATTTGTTACCCAGAGCCCTCAAGTCTTTCCAGGCTTCAACTCTGAATGATGGATTTAGATGCCCCACACGCACCACACTCCTTGGACAAAGACAGCCGGGGAGGTTCTACCTTTGAAATGAATAACTCTGGTCACATGGACTACAGCTTGGTATGTGCATTATACAATTCTATAGGAAGGCATGATCAGACACCATGATCACACACTGTCATCTTTCGAAAGGTTTCTGTATGACCATGAAGACTAGAAGCCTTCTTTTTAAAAACAAAAGCTCCAGAAGTAGAGAAGTGTTTCCCTGTCATTATGAAAAGGATGGTTAATGAAGGTTAATGAAGGTCATATATTCTCTCTCTCTACACACACACACACACACAGAGTAAATATTTAAATTTGAGATAAAGTAGTAATAGGCCAATGTAATAACTACCCCCCTTTATTCCCTCTTATATACTGCACTGATGAGTACCCACGTGTGGTCTACTTTAGATTGAATATAGTTACAGCTGCTAAATCATTTCTTTAAACGTAATCACTTTTACATTCCTTATTATGGAAACTTCAGTGGTTGTTTTTCATACACTGTGGTCCTGTTTAGGAACAGTTGTAAACTGCCCTGTCAGTTTTGAGTATCAGGCAGTATATGAGTGAAATAAACAAAGAAAGCTGACTGTGAGTTTCCTTGCAATTCACAGACTTCGAGTCAGAAATAATCCAAGGGTACGGTTACCGATGGAGCAGTCGTGTCCGGTCCAGCTGGGATCACAGTTGCACAGGCCGGTTTCAGGCAGGAAGGTGCCATGGCCAGAGCACTGGTCCAGACAGGTGGCTCTGGGCGTCTCGCAATTGCTGCCTCCCCAGCCCACTGAGCAGTGGCACTCTCCTCTCACACAAACGCCACGTCCCGAGCAGGTGGGGTCCATGCAGTCCACTGCAAGGGAAGGAGAAAAGCACATGAAAACACGGGAGCTTTCTGCTGAAAGAATGGTCCAGAAAAGCTTTAAATAAATAATGCATAAATTAATACAGAATACGCCTGGTTCCATATTTATAAGCACTTGGGTCTAACATCCTGTGTACCTTGCTCGGCCGCCTAAGGGCACACTGACTTTCTGGTATCTGCAAAGACAGCTCTTTGTGAGCTGGATATGAAACAGTCAATATTCCTTCCCCTTCTGGCCATGTGAAGGACAATGCGCATTAATGGTGGCCGGTGAATGGGCAGGCAGATGGACGGACGGATGAGAAAGGCACAAGGAGCCCAAGGAGGAGAGACTGAAAGACCTGGGTGTGTTTAGCCTCGAGAAGAGAAGACCGAGGGGAGATGAGACGGCACTCTTCAAGTCCTTGGCAGTAGGGAAGGGCAGGGTTACTTCTTGCTCATCCCAGAGTGAAGGACATGGACTAATGCGCTCAAGTCACAGCAAACCAGGTTCTGGCTGAACATCAGGAAGAACTTCCTGGCTGTAAGAGCAGCAGGGCAATGGAACCATTCGCCAAAGGAGGCAGTGGGCTCTCCCACACTGGAGGTATTCAAGATGCACCTGGACAGCCACCTGGGAGGGATGGCTGAACCTGGAGTCTGTCAGGATCTGGGCAGCTTCAGGGCTTCTCCTGGTGGCCGAGCACCAGCATAAGAGCCCTGGTAATTGCAGGATTGGTCCCAGACTCTGCTGCAGATGTCAGGGCCTTCAGGAACACCACTTGCGGGCCCTGTGGAAGAACTATTTAGAACCATCCAGAAGCTGCCTTAGCAATACCTGCCTTTGGTGTGCTGCCTGCTGCTGCTCCTGCTTCAAAGGTATCCCTGCCCTCATGGTATCTTCTTGGCTCCTGACCTCTGGCTGGGTTTGACTCCGCTTGCCTATCTGGATGAGGGCTAGTTTACTTCCCTGCTGATCCTGGTGTGACCTCGGCTTGCTCTGGATGACGACTTGGGACTTGATTGATTCCAAGACCATGGAATGCACTCCCCAGAGAGGTCCTGGCGCCAATGTTATACTCCTTCTGGCACCAGGTAACGACCCTTTTATTTAACCATAATTTTAACAATTAAGGGTTTTAGATATTTTAAGATTTTCTGTCTCTATTTGTTTCACAGTCGCACTTTCCATTTTAGTTTCCTTTTTTTTTCTCAGTTCGTATGTTCAGTTTTACATGTTTTAATAATTGTAGTTTTCATATTGTATTTTAGAATTTTATATTATGCAAGCCGTCTTGAGCACTTCCACTGAAGGACGGGATATAAATGCTTTAAATGAATGAATGAATGGTGATTGGACTTTGGCCACATAATTTCTTGACTCTGTTATCTGGGCCCTGGTGCCCACATCCTGGACCGTACAGAGTCTGCACGGAGCTGTTGGCCCCGATGGCCCTTTGGCACCCTTCCAACTCTACCATTCCCTCAATGTTTGCCATGGCTGGCAAGGCCTTGCTGGGAGCTGGGAGGCTTTTTCCCTGTCTAACCGTGCATGACTGGCACCCCTCAGCTCTCCTTGCAAGCCTCTGCTGTAAGACGGACCAGTCTGGCACCAAGTGTGCGCTACCATGCTATGAACGCTTTCTTCAGTCAAGATGATGCTCAAGAGAGCTGCTCGACGTCCGCCTGACATCATGAGCGTGCATCACTCTTCCATCAGCTGGTCACTCTCAGACTTTTCCTTCCACGAAGCAGGAAACGTCACGCGTGTGACTCTCGGGTGCTGCTCAAGCGTCTGGAGGAAGGGCCCCAGTTTGAAGCACAGGCTCTGGCCGGCCCGGTCCTTTCTGAGTCGAAAGGAGCAGCTACGCAGCGGAGGGCTGGGAGCGAGCCGCCTGCGCCGTCCGTCCTCGGCAGATGGCTCAACTGCGGAGAACAAAGATTGCCGGCTCGCTGGCAAGGGGCTACAGTCAGGCAATTAATCATCCCGTCGGACTCCAGGAGGAGCCAAGAAGGCAGGCGGGATGGGGGCCTCCGTCACAGAAGGCAGTGCACTCTGCAGCCTCAGCGTTAACACGGGATGGTGGACGGGGAAGGCGTGTGTGCCGGGACACCCCATTCTTCATAATTCCAGGGCCATTTTTCATGTTGAAACGAACCCTTTCACAAGACGCCGTGCACAATGGCTACTTTAATCTTGCCTCTGCTGGCCATTGTGCTTCAGCCCCCTGGCACTGTGACAGGGGCCTGTGACAGGGTGAGAGCGTTGCGGCTTTTCTTTGTCGCAAACTCTTTAATGTGCTTGGGTGTATTTCTCCCCATTTCCACCTCCCGTCTTCCCCGTTTTTTCCAACAAAAAGAAGAGAATGGTCTATTTTTCAGGACATCTGGCTCAGCAGATGCAGTTCAGCTGCAGCAAAGGGCATGACACCATTCGAAATGCAGTTTTCAGCTTCCTCCAGCTTCCTGCAACAATCTCAGGGCCCAACCCACTGGGGAAAGCTCCTGCACGCCATTGAAATGAATGGGAACTCCATGCATCTCCTATTCATTTCAATGGAACCAGCACAGATGGAAATCCCTCTGAACTGTGTTCTCAGCTTGCTGTAGCTGAACCAGATATCCAGGGAGATTTAAAAAAAATCCAGGGGTTTGCAGCAATACCTTGGTAAAGGAATCCATTTTTAAAAGTTTTTTAGCTTTGAGAGGGACAAAGTGGCCTGTAATCCTATATATGTCATTCGTAGGGTCACCAACTTGATGGCATATAACAACAACAAAATCCTATACACAAAGTCACACTGAGCTCAATGGGAACAATTTTTGTCTAGATGTGACAAAATACAACTGCATTATAAGAGGAAACTTGATAGTTTATAAAATGATGCATGGAGAGAAGAAAGTAGGTAGACGGGCACAAGTTTCCCCCCTCTCTTCTATTACAGGGTCATCTCATGAAATCAAGTGGCTCAGATTCAGCCTAGAGAAGGAAAAGCATCTTGACATACTGTAGTCCTGGGTCTGTCATAGACCCATATAAAAAGGTGCGTGTGCAGAGAATCCTGCGGTTTGTATGTGCCTCAGATTCATGCAAAGCACATTTAACAAGAGAAGACATGCCTATTTTGGGACTCCCATATTCTAAGATGTGATATGTGCATGAACGGATGCCGACAGAGAGACATTTTATTTATTTATTTAAAACATTTCTATGCCGCCCCCATCGCAACAAAGCCTTGGGCCGCTCATTTTAGGTAGGAAAGTACAAGTCAAGTTGGATAGAACAATTACTATTGGTAATCACTCTTACTCCCAGTATGGCCATAGATACAGAACGAGTCATAAGGGGTCCCCCGGGCCATCTAGTCTGACCCCCAGTTCCAGCCAGCTCCACTCATGACATGCCCACCATGCGCATGTCCAGCCTATCCTTGAACATCCTCACCGATGGGGCCTCAGCCACCTCCCGTGGAAGCCCATTCCACACCCTCGGGGTCCTGACTGTCAGGAAGTGCTTCCTGGCATCCAAATGGAACCTTGGCTCCCTGAACTTTGCTTTGTTAGAGCGCGTCCTGCCTTCCTCTGCAGGGGAGAACAGGTCTCTACCCACCTCCATGTGACTCCCCCTCACATACCTGTATGTCGCCAACAGATCCCCTCTGAGTCTCCTCTTCTCCAGGCTGAAGAGACCCAGCTCCCTCAATCTCGCCTCATACGGCACCCCCTGCAAACCGGCCACCAACCTTGTGGCCCAACGCTGCACTGACTCTAACCTGGCTACATCCTTCCCGTAATGAGGGGCCCAGAACTGAGCACAATATTCCAGTTGCGGGCGCACCACAGTCGTCTAGAGTGGCAGTAATTCCTCTCTCGATCTAGAAGCCACACGTCTGGCTATGCAACCAAGGGTGCTGTTCGCTCTCTTGAGCACCGCATCACACGGCTGGCTCATGTTTAGCCCTCAGTCGACCAGCACCCCAAGAGCCCTTTCACAAGGGCCGCTCTTCGACCATTCGTCCCGTGACCTGTACTTAAGACACCCATTCCTGTACCAGAAATGCGAGGCGTGAGCTTACCTGCACTGAACGCCACATGCTGGGGCCCCCAACATTCTCGGCACACCTGGCATTTGAGCGAGTGCTGTATTTCTGTTCTCACACTGTGGCTGCTATGAGGGTGTTGCCCATCAATGGAATGGCTGTCATGGTGGGTATGGAGAACCACAAAACGCTCATTTCCCAGAAGGTGAATGGCGAGGCAAAAGGAAACGTAACTGCCTAAGAAACCAGCCACAGAGCACCGGGTGGGGACTGAGCTTCAAAACACAAGGCCATTGTCTGAACCCACCTGGAAGACAGCCTTTCATCTGTCAGCTTGCCAGCCAGTTAAATTGAATTAAAAATATTCTCTCAGAGGGCAGGGGTGCTGGTGGGCTCCAAGAAGGGTGTTCATGGGCACACCGGATGGAAGGAGAAACAATGCCTAAGGGACAGCACATATTTTTGATAAATGTGACTAAATTTCTGAACTTTGTTGGTGTTACGGGGCACTCAGACTCGCCTTTGCATCCTTGCATAAAATACAGCACTTCATTGAGAAATGCACCGAAACAGAGTGAGTCCGAAGGGGCCTCCTGGGCCATCTAGTCTGACCCCAGCTCCACTCATGTATTCCCCAGCATGTGGCTGTCCAATCTTTCCTTGAAAACCGTCACTCATGGGGCCTCCACCACCTCCCCTGGAAGCCCATTTCATATCCCAGGGGTTCTCGCCATCAGGAAGTACTTCCCGACATCCAACCTGGAGCCTGGTTCCTTGAGCTTTGCCCCACTGGAACGTGTCCTTCCATCCACTGCAGGGAAGAACAGGTCACGGCCCTCCTTCACATGGCACCCCCTCACATACGTGTATGTCGCTAAAAGATCCTCTCAGTGTCTCCTCCAGGCTGAGAAGACCCAGCTCCCTCAGTCTCTCCTCATCTGCCATCCCTCCCAAACGGGCTACCATTCT